AAATCAGCTGTGGACCCCCCCCCCGTGAGGCTGGGCGGGGGGAGAACCCCAAATTCCCCCCAAACTGAACAGGGGTGGGGGATCCTCTTAGCCAGTCTGGCTGGGCACCCCCAAAATCCTCCCTGCACCCCCAAAATCCCGCTGTGGCACGAGGGTCGTGGTCACCCCCACCCTGGGGACCCCACGGGACCCCCCCCCAATTCCCAGCTGGCACCACCAAAAGCTGGCACAGCTCCCAGGGGGGCAGTGAGTCCATCCCGGGCACCCAGAGCCACGGGGGACCCCAAAACACCGGGAAAAAACAAACCAGGACCCCCCAAAACAGCACCACGGGAGCCTGGAGTCAGGGACCACGGCATGGGACCCCCAAAAAACGTCCCAGAATGAGCCTGGAATTAGGGATGGCACCAAGGGAACCCCAAAAAATGTCCCAGAAGGAGGCTGGGATTAGGGATGGCACCAAGGGACTCCCAAAAAACGTCCCAGGGGAGGCTGGGATTAGGGAGGGCACCATGGGACCCCCAAAAAATGTCCCAGAAGGAGCCTGGAATTGGGGCTGGCACCGTGCAGGTGTCACCCCCTGAGCCCCTGCATCGTTCACAGCACAAAAACTGCAAAATATTTTCCCATTTTGGGGCCCAATTTGCTTTTTTTTTTTTTTCTTTCTTTCTTTTTCTTTTTTTTTTTTTCCCCCAGCTTCACCCAGCTCCCGCTCACCCCAAATACCGAACACTCCTAAATATTTTTTCACCCCCCCCAAATATTTCCAGTTGGATTCAGGTCCTCGGATTCCACATCCATCCCGTGCCGGGATAATTCCGGTGTCTCCGGCTTCCACTGGAGGCAGCCGCTGGCCAGCGAGCCCAGCACAGCCCAGGGAGAGCCACCGGCACCTCCCGAGCTGCCAGAGGCAGCGCTCCCGGCCGCAATTCCGGCTCCAAAAGGGTTAAACCCACCCGGGGCACAACCGAGGAGAGAAAGCACCTGGAAATGTAAAGTGCCGTTTATTTATTATTTTTCCCACCCCTCCCCATCCATGATGAAAATATCGAGTTTTTAAAAAAAAAAAAAAACAACCAAAAAAAAAATTAATTGCACCACCAAACTGCTTCATCCACGCTCTCCTCCTCCTCCTCTTCCTCCTCCAAAACCCAGCACCAAAACCTATGGAAAATAACCCGAAACTTGAGGAACCTTCCCTGCTTCCCACATTAAATAAGAGGCAAAATCCATCCCATCGAGCACCCCACGGCTCCAGGGTGGCTTGGCTGGGCATGAGCTGAGCCAGCAAGCACAGACCCCTCAAATTTGGGGTGTTCCCCCCAAAATTGGGGTGTTGCCCCCCCAAAAAATTGGGGTGTCCCCCCTTTGGGTTGGCCCCAGGCAGGGCAGTGCCTTTGTCCTGGGCTGGAAAATAGGAAAGGAAAAGAGATGAGGGATTTAGGGTTACCCAGCCCTGGTAGTTAATTTTTGGGGGGGCTGCCATGGTGGGACTCAGGGCAGGCAGGGGGATGGCAGCTGCCAGTCTGAGTGAAAAACAGCCAAAAAAAATAGAAGGAAAAACACCAAAAAATTCCCACTAAACTTCCCAAATCCTCATGGGAGGGGCTCAGGGGTTGCCAAGCCCACATGGGGAATAATTCACCCCAAAATCCACGTGGGGGGAAGGGAGGGGGTCGGGGCCTGGGGGCTGTCCCTCGGTGGGAGGGACAATCCAGGGACAACGTGGGCTCGGGTGGGCTCATCCCTGGCCAGGGGGCTCTGAGAGGGAATCCTGGAGCTCTGCCACATCCACAATGGCTGAGGCCAGCCCTGGGATGGGCTGGAGGCAGCTGGAGGGGGAAAATGCAGCCTGGGGGGTTCCCTGTGCCCCCCACGGGATCAGGAGAGGGACCCCAACCCCTGCAGGAACAGCCGGGCTCTGCCTGCCCCTCTCCAGGGAAGGAAAATCCAAAATCCACACTCTCCCCTCAGCTGGACACTGGAAAGTGGGAGCCATCCCCATCCCATCCCCATCCCATCCCATCCTCATCCTCATCCCCATCCCCATCCCATCCCCATCCCATCCCATCCTCATCCTCATCCCCATCCCCATCCCATCCCCATCCTATCCCATCCCATCCCTCCCTCCTCGGCCCCACGGGTCCAGCCCCTGCCCTGAACATCCAGCTCGGACAAGGCAGGTTTCAAAGGAACCGTTTAAAGCAGGCAAACAGGGATGTCTGCTCTGCCCCCAGCCGTGCCCCCAGGCAGGACAGTGACACTGCTCCAGGCCACCCTAGGCAGGGTTTCTCCATCCCTGATCCCACCGATTCTCCATCCCAGAGAGAAAAGCAGGGGTGAGGTGAGGCAGCAGCTGCCCCTCACCCCCTCACACCCCCCCTTAACCCGAACACATTTCCAAAACAACAACAAAAAACCGAACCAAAACAAAAACAAACCCAAAATAAAGAAAAACCAAGATAAGCAGCACCACAATTCCCAAGTGTCAGGAGCTCCAGAGCTGGAGCAGAGGCCTGGAACTGCTCCCCACACCCGAGGGGAGCCCCGGAGGATGGAGCAGCCCCCGGGGCCGGAGCTTTGGCGCTGGGAGGGAGGAAGGAGGGGCAGCTGTGCCCTGGAGGGAGGAGAGGAAGCGGTGCCAGAGGCAGGAGTGCCAGGCCGGGCTCACACGGCAGCTCGGGTGGGAGTGCTGGGCTGGTTCAGCCGCAGCGTCCGGCACAGCCAGCCCGCGAAATCCACCTTCTCCACCTCGGAGCGCTTGATGAACGTGTGGCTCTGCAAGCACAGGGGAAAACACGGTCAGGAACACCCCAGAGGAGCATCCCAGATCCCAAAACGTCAGATCTGTGCTGTGGGATGTGCCCTGGAGAGGGGGGAAGGTGCTGGTGCCACAGCTGAGGCAGGAGGAGAGGATTTGGGGAAAACATTCCTCCCACCATCACAGGGAGGAATTCCTTCCCAATCTCCCACCCAGCCCTGCCCTCTGGCAGTGGCAGCCATTCCCTGTGTCCTGTCCCTCCAGCCTTGTCCCCAGTCCCTCTCCAGCTCTCCTGGAGCCCCTTCAGGCCCTGGCAGGGCTCTGAGCTCTCCCTGGAGCCTTCTCCTCTCCAGGTGAGCACCCCAGCTCTTCCAGAGGGGCTCCAGGCCTTCCTCTGGACTCTCTCCAGGTCCTTGTGCTGCTGGAGCAGAGCTGGAGGCAGCTCTGCAGGTGGGGTCTCACCTGAATCCCCCTTTCCCTGCTGCCCAGGACTCTGCTGATCTCTGGGATCAGAGCACAGCTGGGATCCAGCCCTCAGTGCCACCCCCCTGCCCAGGTGAGGAGCCAGGGCTGTGCCAGCAGGGCCTGGCCAGGCTCCCAGCACTGGGTAAAGGGGGTCAGTCCCTCCCTCTGCCCCACCCTGAGCTCAGCCTGCCAATTCCCAGCCTTTGGAGCAAGAGGGATGGATGGGGCAGCAGCTGGCAGAGCTGGTGCCACCCCAGAGCAGCAGAAAAATCCTCTCCCCACTCACCATCAGCATCTTCAGATCTGCTCGTTCTGCTGGGTTTTTAATTAAGCTGAAATGAGAACAAGAGAGGGAAGCCAAGGTGAGATTCCTTGTGGGAAGGTGGGGATCAGGCTGGAGAAGCTGCAGCTTCCCCCAAAACCCCTCAGGATCCCAGGAGAGAGATCCCTGCCAGCTCAGCTCCCAGGGAGAGCTGCAGGATCCATCTCTTCCAGACTGTGGGGACAAACTGTGCCCTGCAAATGGAGAAAAGGCCCTAAAGCTTGGCAGGAATCTGGGATTTAATATCCAGTCTCTGGTTCACTGGGAGCTCTGGCAGCACCTTCAGGTGTCCCTGTGCCCCAGGATCTGCTCCACCACCCCCCTTGCCAGGCTCAGCTTTAGAAGGAGCTGGGATCCTGCTCAGCAGCCCCACACATAAATTGCTTTTATTCCAACCCTTCCCAAGGCAGGAGCTCCCAGCACAACGTGGGATCAGGCAGGGAGAGAGAGAGATCAGGCAGAACACAGAGGGTGGAGCTGCAGAGCTGTCAAGGAGCATGTCCAAGCCTCCACCTTCAGCCAGGAGATGAAATCCTCACCATTTATTTACAAACTCCTGGAAATCTTGCGTGAAGACTCCACTTGGCAGCTTGGGGGGTGGCTGTGGAGAGAAGGAAAAGGGGTTCCTGCACCACTCCTGTGTTACTGTGCCAAAAATCAGTGTCAGCTGCAGTGTCAGGGAGCTGTGCTCTACAGCCACTCTCATCCTCCTCATCCTCACTGCTTTTCCAGCCAGGAAATCCCTTCCCTGCCACTCCTTCCCCTGCTGCTCCAGCTCCCTCTGCACCCAGGGGACCCCACACTGAACCCCAGCCAAAGCTGGGATATCACCAAGCATCCCAATCCTAAATCCAGCCTGACAAATCCCAGCTCTGGCCGTGCCTATGGCTGATGAAACAATCCCAAAATGAGAATTTTCCATCACCCTGACTGTGAGAGCTGTCCTTGCAAGCTGGGTAGGACAGGGGGGATGGCCTCTTAAACTGAAGGAGGGAAGGTTTAGATGGGATTTTGGGAAGAAATTCCTCCCTGTGAGGGTGTTGGGGCCCTGGGATGGAATTCCCAGAGCAGCTGTGGCTGCCCCTGGATCCCTGGCAGTGCCCAAGGCCTGGCTGGAGCAGCCTGGGACAGTGGGAGGTGTCCCTGCCATGGCAGGGGTGGCACTGGATGAGCTTTAAGGTCCTTCCAACCCAAACCATTGTGGGATTCCATGAGTGACCGAACATTCCAGATCCCACCCTGACTCAGCAGAGCAGAACATCCCTGTGGAAGCTGTGGGAAAACAAACACCCACCTCGTTAACGATGTAATCCAGCAGCTCAAAGATGGCCATGGCAGGCCTGGTGTCCATCCCGTGCCCTGGGGGGGGACACGACACAAACGGTGCTGAGAGGCTGCTCAGGGCTCAGTTTGGGGTGAAAAACATGACTTTGGGGGAGCTCTGCTGGGAGAGGCTGAGGAAACTCCCAGGGGAATTGAGCCATGGTTAAAGAGAAACCAAGTTCATTCCCAGAATTTGGATTTCTTTCACCAGACCTCCAGTCCAGATTTATTTATGTTTGGACAGCACCAGACCATCTACTCTGGCTGGCTGGCAGCACTTCCAGAGCCTTCTGCTCCCAAGGAAACGGCTCCAGCAGAGCCTCCCTGGAATCCTGCTGCTGTTTGGTGCTTCTGTGAGAGCTCCCAGCAAAGCTCTTCCCAAAAAGCCGCCTGAGGCCTCAGGAGAACCTGCTGGCAGCACAGGCAAAGCCTGAGGAGCACAAGGGGCTGTGACAATAGTTTGAGGGACATTCTCTCCACGGGAGCCACATTCCAGCTGCACCCACAGCACGGGGAGGCGCTGAGAACGGGAATAACATTTTTGTGGGACTAAGGAACCCAGGGACAGCTCCCAAATCCATCCTCAGAGGCCCCTCCGCAGGCTCCCACCTGGATTCCACCAACCTGCGGCGGGGTGGGCCGTGCTGGAGCCAATGTGGATTTCCCTCCAAAGATTCCCAGCGGAGCCTCCTCCAGGGCAGCTCCCCCAGCCGCCCCAGCCGGACCCCAACCCCTCATCCCCCATGGAAGCGTTGCTGCCGATGCACACCACAGCCCCTACCACTGACGGGGCGTCCTGGGGGCCTGGCCCGCGGCGAGATGCTGGGGGACTCTCCCTCCGCCCCGTCCACCACAGGACGGCCAAAAATTGCTTCCAGTTCCTTGGAGTCTGGCGGGGGGATTGGGTACCTTCCGATCGACAGCTCCACTAGGGACAGCCCCATGCTCCAGATGTCCGACTGCACCGAGTAGTGCGTGCCCTGCAGGCGCTCGGGCTGCGGGGAGAGCAGAGCTCAGGGCGGGGATGGCGGGGATGGGGATGAAGGCACTGGGAATGGGGATAAAGGCATTGGGAATGGGGAGAACAGGGATGGGGATGATGGCACTGGGAATGGGGATGATGGCACTGGGAATGGGGATAAAGGCATTGGGAATGGGGATGATGGCACTGGGAATGGGGGATGATGGCACCCAGGGCACAGGGAATGGGGGTGACATGGAATGCTGGACCCCAGAGCATAGGAACACCCACTGACATGGGATGTGGACCCCCAGGACACAGGAACATGGGGTAACATGGGATAGTGACACCAAATACAAATATCCTGTATGGATGAGACTCACTCCAGTGCCCAAAGGGGCTCCAAGGGAACTGGAGAAGGACTTTGGACAAGGGACAGGACACAGGGAATGGTTTCACATGGACAGAGGCAGGGATAGATGGGATATTGGGAAGGAATTCTGCCCTGGCAGGGTGGGCAGGCCCTGGCACAGGTACCCAGAGCAGCTGGGGCTGCCCCTGGATCCCTGGCAGTGCCTAAGGCCAGGTTGGAGCAGCCTGGGAAGGTGTCCCTGCCATGGCAGGAGTGGGACTGGATGGGCTTTAAGGTCCTTCCAACCCAAACCATTCTGGAATTCTGTAATATCCCAAAGGCCTCTCCAGGGAAAGGACAGTCCCAGAAGGATCATGTGCAAAGGGGATGGAAAAGAAGAATGATGTGCAGACAAAAAGCACTTGGAGCATCTAATCCACACTCCCAACTCAGCAGCATTCCCAGCTACTTGTGTTTGGGAACACCCAGCAGGAATCTATTTCTCTGTGTGCTGAAATCTAAGGAACTCAACTTATCCATAAAAATGTATTTCCCTGCTCTCTGCTGTTAACACCCAAGAGGAACCAGAGGAGCAGAAAATCCACTTGAGGTTATGGCCATTAAAAGAAAAAATCAGAAATAAATCAATCCATGCAAGTCATCCCCACTGGCAGCTCTGAGGCAGCCTGGAGCCAGGGCCTGGGAGCAGAGGGGGCAGGATTTTTAAATAGCCCCTGTCTAACTATAACTGCACTTGAATAACCATTCCCAAAATACAGGAGCAGCTCAGACCTCAGGATCCTTCCCTGGGAGGGTGGGCAGGCCCTGGCACAGGATCCCAGAGAAGCTGGGGCTGCCCCTGGATCCCTGGAAGTGTCCAAGGCCAGGCTGGACAGGGCTTGGAACAACCTGGGACAGTGGAAAGAGTCCCTGTGGACAGGATGGGGATGGAAACAGCTGAGATGAACCCAAATGACCCAAAAACCCCAGCTGGAAGGAACTTACAGACATGTAGGACCGAGTTCCCACAAAGGAGTTGGCCATGGAGTCAATGAGCTGCCCGCTGACCCCGAAATCACAGAGCTTGATCTCCCCTCTGGAATTCACCAGGATGTTGGAGGGTTTCACATCTGGGAACAGCGAGAGAGGGGAGTGTGAAGGTGGCTCTGGGTGACACCTGGCACTGCAGGCTGGGATTCTCAGGGTCCTGCTCTCACCTCTGTGCATGATTTGGTGCTTCTCCCGCAGATAGGCCAGGCCCCGCAGAACCTGGGAGGAACCCAAAGGCTGGATGAGAGCAGAGCTCAGGGAACAGCTCTGCCCTCAGCCCAAGGAGAGCTGCCCTGTGCTGTCCATGTCCCTCAGGGTTTGCAATTCATCCCCAGCTCCATCACAGATTTTGGGTGAACCACCCAAAAAAAGCTTCTCCCAAACCTCCTCGAAGTGATGCCAACATTATCCAGAGGGGTTGGAGGTGGGGAAAGGGGTTGGGAATATTTCCCTTTTGCTCTGGCCTCTTGGCCCAGGAAAGTGCAGCCCCCAGGACTGGGAAACACAGAAAGCTTCCCAGGGCAGCCCAGGAATTATTCCCAATCCCTGCCCAGCAAATCCTCCCTGGAAGCCTGAGCAGCCCCATCACTCACCGCTATACTGACTTTGCCCAGGATTTCCTCAGGAATTCTTTTGGCTTCTTTCAGCACTTGATCCAAAGAGCCACCATCCTGAAATAAAGCACATGGGAATGACCAACACAGCAATTCCCAGCAGGAAAACAGAGCAGCTGGATGTACAGGGGAGCAGATGGTGGGTGACCAGCATTGAGCACGCTCCTTTTTCAGCCACAAAAAAATAAAAGATCTGGTGATCTGAGCTCAGGTTCATCACTGAAAACTGGTGTTTTTAGCAGTTCTGCTTCTTGCTGTTGGTTCTTTGCTTCCTTCCACCAGTGGAAATGCCAAGTTGGTGCTGATTTGGAGCAGAAATAACATAGTTCTCCACCAGAAACAACAGAATTTGTTCACTCAGCCTCTCAGCAGGCTCTGCAGAGCAGTGGGTTGGCAACATTTCCGTTTGGCCAAGCCCCACACTTGCTGCTTCCTCTTCCCAAAAGTCGCTGTCTCCCTGATCCCGAGGCCTGAGCAGGAATGTGTGGCTCCCACCAGGAGCAGAGTGGGCAGAGCAAGCAGCTGCCAGTGGCCCAAGGCACCGGGCTGGCAGGGAGAGGGCGTTTGGGAGGGTGCAGGGAGGGCAGGGCCTCACCATGTGCTCCATGCAGATGGAGATCTCCCCATCACTGTAGAAGGCTCCATAGAAGCCCACGATGTAGGGGGAGTTGCACTCGTGCAGCACCTGCAGCTCCCGGATGATCTGGTTCCTGATGGCTGGTTTGATTTCCAGATGGATCAGCTGCCAAGAGAGGAAACAGGCAAGGTGTGACTCCTGGGAAGGGAAAGAACTGATGGGCAGCAGCCCTGAGTGCTGGGAAGAAATCACATCTTCAAGGGAGGCGCTGCTTTGGAGCAGAATTTTTCCCATTTGCAGGCTGATATTAAGGATGAAGTGCCAGGACACGGGGAATGGTTTCCCACTGCCAAAGGGCAGGGATGGATGGGATATTGGAAATAAACCCTGGGAGGGGGGTGAGGCCCTGCAACAGAATTCCCAGAGAAGCTGTGGCTGCCCCTGGAAGTGCCCAGGGCCAGGCTGGACGTGGCTTGGAGCAGCCTGGCACAGTGGAAGGTGTCCCTGGCCACGGCAGGGGTGGCACTGGGTGGGATTGAAGGTCTCCCCAACCCCAACCCGTGGGGGATGCCATGCTGCAGGCAGAGGAGAGCTCTGTGCTGCCTCAGCCACGGAAGGCGCCGGGATTGCACTGGACACGGGTGGAAAGACGAGTCAGGAGTTTGATCTCAGCCCCTCTGAGTCAGCAGCCAGGAGCATTTTCACAAGCTCTGGAGGTGTTGTAAGAAGGTGCTCCCAGATCAAGGAAACCACAGAAAAGAAAAAGCCCCTGTGAAGGTTCTGCACAAGAACGAGCAGCGGCTTTTGGGGCCGCACGTGGGGTCAGAGCAGAGCAGGGAGGGAAACAGCCTGGGCTGGTGAAAGGAGGCCCTGCCCAGGGGGCTGGGTGAGCTCTAGGGCCCCTTCCAACCCAAACCACTCCAGGAATCCATGATCCCAACAGCAGGAGGGAGGAGGGACTCTGGAGGAGGCAGAGCAGAGGTTGTGCTGCTCCTGCCAAGCACAGCCTTTCCCAGCAGGCAGATGAAGCAGCTCCTGATTTTCTACTCCGTGGCACCACAGGAGATGTTCCCAGTGAAGCCAAGCCTGAGAGGAACCTCTGTCCCTGCTTGGAGTGACCTTGGGATGTGTTTAATGGGGCTGAGGGATGTGTGTGCCAAACCCATCCTTCCCACTGCCACGACCTACAATCCTCAGGAGATCCAATTCCAGTCGCTTTGTCCATCAGAACTGGGAAAAAAAATAAAACTCCTGTTTTCCAGAGCCCAGGGATCTGTCACTGGGAGCGCAGCCTCTCCCAAAGGAGACAGCTCCATGTGGGAGCTCTGCTCCTGACCACGGTGAGGTGGTGAAGGTGCAAATGCAGAGAGAATCCAAGCAAACCCAGCCCTGCTGGAGGCAGGCAGAGCTCCAGGTGCTCCCCAGCACTCCCAGCCCCTCGTTACCTTGCGTGCCATAACGAGCCCTGAGGGTTTGTGCTGCACTTTGGTGACCACCCCGCCATTGCCAGCGCCCAGCTCGGAGATCCTCTCGAAGTCGTCGTCCTTCAGCTCCCCAACTTTGGCTTTCTGTGTCAGGAAAGCTTCCAGGCGCTTCTTCTGCTGCTCATCCAGCTCCAGCTCCTCCAGCTTCTTCTGCAGGTCCACCAGGTTAGCCCTGAGAGGGGAGGAGGAGATGGGAGACGGGCAGCACCGGGGAAAGAAAGGAGGATGCAATTCTCAGGAAACGATGGAAAATCACCCCCTGACATGTCCTGAGCCCCCCACAATGGGATCACCTGGACAGGGAGACCTGGAGAAGTCCCTGCCCAACACACAGAGCCCCTCTGGAGAGGAGCTTGGGAGCACCAGGTGTTTTGGGAGAGCCAAGGAGCAGGAAAAATCCTTTGGCCCTTAAAGAGGCAGCAGCAGATGCTGCTCCCTGTCCCGGGGAGCCAAACTTGGCTTTGGTGTGTAACACGAGAAGGGCTCTCCATGGGGTCCAGCAGCTCTGTGACACCCCCACCCCAAATCCTGAGCACAAAGGGGGGTCTGTGCTGCCCCAGCACCAGCTGCTGAGCCCCCACTGCCTGTGCCAGCTCCAGCTGCTCATCCCAGTTGCTGCCACCCCCTTGTCCCTCCTCACCCACAGTGGGACATGTCGGGAGGGTCTCACCCCATCCCCTCCACCCAGCACCCCAGTACCCCCCTCCACCACCTCTCACCCCACACATCCCATCTGCTGAGCCCCCACTGCTGCCCCAGACCCCGGGTCCCCATCCCAGCTCCAAGCTGGGGCTCCAGGCCTGGGCCCGGCCCCCCCAGGCCTGAGCTGCCCCCTGCAAACCGGGGCTGCCAGAGCAGCCTCCCCCTGCCCATCCCACCCCTTCTCCTCCGGCTCTGCCTCCCTGAGCCTCACCTTCCCCACACGGCCCAGGCCGGGCCCATCCAGCCCCCAGGCCGGGCCCAGCTCTCCCGGACCTGTCCCAGCTCCCCCAGGCCTTCCCTGGTCCCCCCGAGCCTGCCCCAGGTCCCCCCTCAGACCTTCCCAGGCCTCCCCAAACCCGTCCCGGCTCCTCCAGGCCTTCCCTGGCTCTCCCCACGCCCCGCGCCCGCCCTGCCCCGACTCCCCAGGCCCGGTGCCCGCTCTGTCCCGGCCTCCCCGCTCTGCCCAGGCCCGGGGTGCCCCCCAGGCCCAGCCCCGCTGCCGGGGCGGTCCCGGCCGGGCCTGACTCACTCTGCGGAGCCGTCGGGGCTGGGCCCCTCGGCGGCGCTGGGGGCGATGTTGAGGGCGGGCAGCACCGGCTTCCTCTTGGCCGGCATGGCCGGGCCGGGCCGCGCCTGCGGGGCCGGGGGGGCGCGGCCGGGC